TTTTAGTGATGATGAAGAAAACATTGTTTAATTTATATTAATATGTATCACTTAAGAAAATTTTAATAAAGATATTTATCTTAATTATGAAAATATAATAGCATGTTTTTTTAATTTTTGAAACCTAACCCTCCTTTTCGTACTAGTTCTTTGTTTCGTATAACACGGATTCGCATAACATGGCAATTTTTTGGAACATAACTCCCGTGATATACAGGGGTTACCTGTATGTATTTAATATTAAAGATTTGAACTTAAGTACTGCAATAGGCTCTATTGGTTTTATAGTAGTTCTTTGACTGAGGAAAATTTAAATTATTATGATCTTTAACCAATTGATCAGATTTAATACAGCATAATCATTTCATGTTTCTTTTATTTTTGGATAATGAGTTGGATTATTTCAAATAATCAACTAATGCCAATTATTAAAATTTAGCCAATAATTGATAATTCTTTCTTAAGTAATCAATGGAAAAATCAAAGTTTCTGGGAACACAAACTATTAAAACACAATGGTCACATCTTGAAGTACTTCCCACTACATTCTATGTGTAATTTTATCATTTTAAAACCAACCATGAAAGCAGTTATACCAAGTTTTGGAGATGCTTTCAGCATGCTCCAAATATAAATGTCCTCTTCCACACTCTGGAAACACCATCTGTAAATCAATTCCTTAACTTCCAAGAATAAAAAGTAGTCACAAGGTGATCTAGTCTACAGAGTGAATTGTTCACTAGATGCACATTTGATCAGTCAAAAAATTCGCTGTCTCTATCATAGTGTGCACCAAAGCATTAGTATAGTGACTTAAGAGACCCTAATTCCAATCTTTGGATATCTCTGACAGATCTCCTAGAAGATAAAAACTGGCAGATAAATGGTAATCAATTAGTAGTGTCAGCTTTCAATCTTTTATGCATGATTGCAATATGACTGTCTTAACCAGAAAATGTGGATATCAGTTGGTTACCAATACTTCTGAAATGTTTTACCTTCATAAATAATGCCCATCTGGAAACACCCAGACTATCTAATATCCCTTTGTTTCTGGATCATATTGATAAATTTATCTTTCATCAACTTTCATAATCATAAAAATCACCTTTCATAAAAACATTTTGATTGTTGATTTTCAAAGATTAACAGGAGACTAATAGAGTTATGTAGCAACATAACACTATTTGTCTCCTGTTAATCTGACAGGAAATGCAAATCAGTATCAGATTATGCATTTGAGGAATCCAAGGTGTAAATAAACTTTGGGCCCCACTCATTGATATTTATTTTATTACGCATACTGGATACACTCTTTGATGCGGGGAGCAAAACCATCTCCCAAAGAACAACACTTAGATACAATGAACATAAGATCACAAACAGATTATACAATAATAAATTAAATAAATAACAATTTAGATATAAATTCAAGATTTAAAAATCAAATGTAATAATTAGTTAAAGTTTAAAGTTAAAGTTTGGGAGCATCTGTCAATAAAATTCAAAAAACCAATAAATAAAAATAAAACAACCAAAAATAAGCAAATTGCTTAGCTATAAAAAAGAAATAAGTTAATAACAAAGATACAGCACTGACAGATGCTCCCAAACAATACCAGCAACAAGGCTAAATTTATAGTAGAGGAATCATGCCCCCTAAAACAAAAGATCAACAGATTTTCTTAGAAAACAAAACACTTTAAATTGATAACATAATACCAATATAATTTTAAGAAATAAAGACCTGGTAAGAACTTCACAACCGAAAATTTCTACACGTAGCACTTTAAGACGCCCACATTTGGCCAAAATATGCCAGGCATCCACAATTTCTTTCTCAACACAAAAGTCACACGATTCTCTCAAATAATTATTTAAAAAAATTTAATGAATTACACCTAGCCTGTATAAATAAAGACAAAATATTAAGGCAAACATCTTGATTATATAAAGAACTAGCTTACCCGTCGCGCATTGCTGCGATTCAGAAGAAACGAAATTCAAGCAAACTCGTTATGATAAAATTCAATTTACATTTTATTATTTTTATTGAAACTTATTATTATTATTCATTTTCATCGGGAAAACATTTCAAAGTGTCATTTCAATTCTATTTATTTATTGGAGTGTTTGTGGATACACGATATTTTTTGTTTTTCCGTCTGGTGCGTACA